ATTCAGGGCCTCATTCTGGGCATTTCTTGGAAAGGCAGCTCCCGGGGACAGCAACACGCAGCAGAGGAATAGCACCACCTGGATCATGGTGAGACGGCAGAACAGTCCTGCTGGAAGGAAGCAGTGCTTAGGTTGGGAGGTAAGAGACTTAGGACAGACACCAGAATTAGTCAGGGATAGGAAGTACCTAAGCGCTTGGGCACTTCGGTTACCCTGGACATAGCTTTATGCCCACCCTTATAGGCTGTGGGTGGTCCTCCTCACCTGTGCAGAAGGAAACAAGCCAGGAAGAATGAGGTGGTCCAAACGCGTCCTTTTCCTCAGCGTTTCCCTGATCTGAATGGCTGCCTTTTAAATCTCTTCTGTTTACCCTAGCCCAAAAGTTTGTTCCTTGGGAAAGATGTAATGTGCAAATATTTATCCACCTCTTTCTGACCCAGACCTTGTCCTTTCCACCCTTGCCCATGCTGACCAGCAGGATTGCTTTCTTTGTGGCTCCTGTCACCTTAAAGATTTACCCAAGATGTACACTTGGATCAGAAAGCGTCTCTATTTTCTAGGGAAAGGGAGAGAGGAAGGCAGAGAATGCAATGATTTCTTGGTAGTAGACCCTAAAATAGTTCTAATAATTTTATAGAATTATCTGGTGGAGGACCAGGATTGGCAAGTGAGGCCAAATTAGAGCAACTTCATGGTTTTTCTTTTTTCTTTTTAATTTTTAAAATTTTTTTTTAGATTTTTGCCGTAAGGCACACGCACTACAGTCCCTTCTACTTTGTTCTTCTCTTTGGATTCTGAGCATGCATGCACATGCACCTGGTATGATTTTCAAACTGCTAGGCCTGGGACTTGAACTGCAGTTGGCTGTGTGGGGCTCCAGCACCTTAGCCATCCTGCTATCTGCTGGCCCCAGTTTTTGCCTTTTTTATTCCAATGTAATTTCTAAACTAAGCATATTCATTATTATGCTAATACCTCTTTCTAAGTCTATGTCAAAACTACCAGATGTGGGCCCAACCTCTGTGGCATAGTAGGTAGTGTAGGTAGTGTACTGAACTGCAGTGCTGGAAGCCTCAAGTGCATTGAACCCACAAGTGCATCGTGCTGGAAGCCACAAGTGCATTGAACTGCAGTGCTGGAAGTGACAGTAGTTTAAATCCCTGGGCAAGCCTGAAACGTGCTGGGTGTGCATGTGTCCAGGATCCTGGTGAGCCGAAGGACTGGAGGAAGGGGACTGTGTGTTACCCTTCTGTGGAGTGTATAATGTGCTCTCTCTCTCTCTTCTGCTTCCATTTACTGTATCATGAATAAAGAAAAACATTATGGGAAGTGGGTTTTATTTCTCACCTAGTGGTAACTGCAGCCTGGAAAATAGGGAAAGGTAGCATGTGGTGCCCCTTAAAACTGGCAACAAGAGTCACATATAATTTTGCTATAAAGGTTCCTCTCTGGTGCCTTACCCACCTCTGGCAGACAAACAAAAGTAACAGGCCAATGAAGGGGTTCAGGGTCCCCCCTCCTATTTATCTCATTCTTTGTAGACCTCAGGAAGGGTATCTAAAAGTTAAGAAGAAATCAGGGGGAAAAAAGTTTCTTTTTTTTTTTTTTTTTTTTTGCTATAGGGTGTGTGCACTCGCCAGACAGGCAGAGAGAGACAGACAGAAAGAGAGAAATACCGCCCCCCAGGGGGGATGGCCACGCCACAATCCCTTCTCTTCCATTCTTCTCTCGGGATCTTGGGCATGCATGCACATGCACCCGGTGTGAGTCTTAAGTCACTAGGTCTGGGACGCAAACCGTGGTCAACTACATGGGAGTCCAGCGACATAGCCATTACACTAACGGCTGGGGCCACGGGGACACACGATAGTTTCTAGAAAAAGAGTAAAGGGGCCAGCAGTGACATGGTGGTTAAGAGTGCTGGATTCCCACATGGCTGACCTTGGTTTGAGTCCTGGACCTGGTGGCTTGCTTTCTCTCTCTCTCTCTTTCTCTTGCTCTATCCCTCCTTGGTCAAATTCAAATAAATAAATGAATAAATAAAGTTAAATAAAATAATTCTTTTTAAAAAAAAAAGGAAAGGAGAAGGAAGTCTTCAAATGAGCTTCCAAAGAACCAGGAGGTTCTTTGATTGGTATTGCCATCCTCAATATGGAACTGCTCTTTTCTTTGAAATTCCAACTCTGATGATTCTTTTTGAAGAGTTATTTATTTTACTTTATTTGTTATTATTATTTTTAAAATTTAACCATAGAGAAACAGAAAGAGAAAGGGAAAGTGAGGAAGCAAACTGCCAGGTTCGAGATTCGAACCTCAGTCGGCCATGTGGGAGTCCAGTGCCTCAATCACCACACCACCTGTTGGCCCCCACTCTGGTGCTTTGAGAATGACAGTGGCGAGTAATTGTGTGAATGCAGTGGAGGGAAGTGCTGAGTTTGTAGGACCAAGGAGTGGAGTGACAGAAGTTGAAGGCAAAGGCAGGTCTCCCCATTCAGACTTCTTTCCTTCACGCTTGCCCTCACCGTCCACCTGTTCCTCATCAGTGCTTAGCAGTTCTTCACTTCTTGGGAGTGCTGCTGGGTCTTTGTTTTGAATTGAATTTATTTTTTGGAGCAGTTTTAGGTTTACAGAAAAACTGAACAGACAATAGTTCACATATATTCCTTCTTCTGCCACCTCTCAGTTTTCTGTATTATTAACATTCTACATTGGTGTGGCACATTTGTTACAATTGGTTGTTATATTTATTATCAATTGATCATATATTTGTAGGCCCCTCCATTCTTTCTGCTTTCTCTCTTTTTCCTGAGAAGCAGAGTACCCTTTCTGTTCTGTGATCTGACTGGCTGTTGTTTTCCCCTGCAGACTTGAACCCAAGCCAGGGCCTGGAACATTCCCAGGTACTGATAAGGTTGTTTAGGTTGTTGCTCAAAACACTGAAAGATCAATCATGTTGCCAAACATGTGAACGTTAGCATTAGCCCTGAGCCAGGTTCCTTAAACCCTCATAGAAACTCCATGACTGCTTTGTTAAAGCCATACTTGGGTAGAACATCTCTCTTCATTGTCTGTCAGTGTGAGTTCTGTTAAGAAATGCTGTGGCCTGATCACCTGTATTTAGTGCTTTTTCTTTTTCTTTTTTTTTTTTCTGGGCCCCATTCTGGGCATTTCTTGGAAAGGCAGCCACCAGGGACAGCAAGGCAGAGCAGAGGAACAGGAACACATGGATCATGGTGGGGCAGAACAGCCCTGCTGGGAAGAAGCAGGGAAGGCTGGGAAGAAGGGAGAGGCTCAGGACAATGACACAAAACTAATCAGAGCTGAGGGGTGTCTGAACCCTTGGGAATTTCAGTTCTCCTGGACACAGCCACCTCAGCTGCCCTTGCCTTTGGAGGCTGTGGGCGATCCTCGACTGTTCAGGAAAACAAGTCGAACAGAACAATCCAAATGATCCTTTAAGGGGCCTTCCTGATCTGTATGACTGTTTTCTAAATCTCACCTTCACCTGGAAACACAAAAGGGTGAGAACACTGATGGTTTCCAAGAATACTTAAGGACAGGACATTTGCAGTGCTTACCCAATCTCCTTCCCACCCAGATTTTCTACTCTCCTCTGTCTCATGCTCTGACACCTTCTTTTGCTCCTGCTTCTCCCTGCTCTATACTTTTGTCACCCTAAAGATTGATTTTTTAAAAAATTTTGTTTATTTATTTATTTTATTTTTGGAGAGGTTTTTGCTATGGGGTGTGTGTGCTTGCCAGAAAGACAGAGAGAGACAGAGAGATAGAAAGCGAGAAATCACCTCCCAGGGGGGAATGGCCATGCCACAATCCCTTCTCCTCCATTCTCCTCTTGGGATCTTGGGCACTCACGCACACGCGCCCGACGTGA